AATAATAATAATAATAATAATAATAATAATAATAATAATCAAAACAATAGAAAGTACATTGGATAAAAAAAGAAAAAGAAAAAGAAAAAAAAAAGTAAATGAACACTACGCCGTACATTCCATCTCCCGTGGAAGTACATGAGAGACCGGACACAACACCTCCTCTTCCTCTATCTTCTCATATAATAATAAATAACAATTGGAGGAGTGTCTACGCCACAATTCCACCACCTCATCTTTTAATACGCCGACGTTCATATCATCCGCAATACACCACACACCTGCTGAAGCGTTATCACTATTCACTTTCATTACAGTATTTGTGTTTGTGTTCTTTTCTCTTTCCGGTACTTCGGAAGGGGCAAAGAATTCCGTAATGTAATGACCAACAAAGGGAGAAGATCCAATGTGTAGGAGGACACCTCGTAAACGATATCGATTACGTACAGCTTTTACCAATGAAGAGTCTTTTACTTCTTCTTTCTTTTCTTCTCTTTCTTTTACTTCTTTTTCTTTTTTCTGTTGATACTCCTCATTTGCGTGAGTATGATGTGAAGAATTCTCTGCCAAACTCTCCATTTGTACCCTTTCGGGTCTTTTCTTCTCATCAGAGGTCTTTTCTTCTTCTTCCTCCTCCTCCTCCTGTTGGGCCGCATACTCCGCCTGTCGAACAGATGATGTTAACTGTTTCTTTTCTCTATCATATTGTCCCTCCTCTCGCAGTGCGTATAGTGTTAACTCTTCATTCACGCGAACAGGCGTGCAGTCTTTCGTCATGTGTATTCCCGTTCGCACATCATACACAGCGGCAAATCGTTTTAATTGAATTACAAGAAGTGGAGGTGCATCTCCTAATAAACATCCACCTTGGTGTTGGTGTTGGGAAGATCGACAGAGATCACAGACGTAGTTATCAAGGGCATCAAAGCGGAGACTTTGTTCGAGTAATGTCTGAACATCATAACAGTCATTGGGAGTGTTTCTCTTCTTCTCAGGAGTGGAGTGATTGGAGTTATTTTTCTTTACATTTGGTGTAGTTTGCTCTTTCCCCTCCATATTCCTATTACTATTACTATCACTACTAGTAGTACTAGTAGTACTGTTAGTAGTATTAGTAGTATTAGGACCAACAGTATGAGATTCATGTATAGTTGACACTTTTGGTACAGTTGAGTTTTCTTCTGTTGTTTCCAATTTTAACAAATTCACAGAGAGATTCACATAGGGATCTTCTGTGGCTATTTCATGTCCACATTCTTTATTTTTACAGCGTATAATATTAAGCAATTTCCCATGCATAAGAGTATTTACCCATATACGCTTTGAATCTATATCAGTTTGATCCTTCTCTGTTTTTTCCTCATTGCTAGCCCCATCTTCAAACAATTTCTCCGCTTCCAATTCTGTTGCCGCAGAAACTGCATGACTATCTTCAGTCAAACCACTATTATTATTATTATTATTATTATTATTATTGTAATTAGATCTATTTTTCATTCTGTCTTTTACCTTAAGCATTTCTTTAGATTCATCCTCAAGCTTTTGAACAAGAGCTAAGAAAAACTCATGTGCGTCCTCCTGATCCCCACAGAAAAAATTACCGTGAAAAAATCTTTGCAGTGGTGTCATATCAAGTCCATACTCAATCTTTTCTGGTTTTTGCAGTAAATAGGCAAAATTACAGAGAGCGCTGTGAAGACTACTGTTTATAGTACTATTACTACTACCATTACTGCCATACATACTGGATCGAGACTGTCTCTTTGAAATAATTCGTCTTGGTGATTCATTATTATTATTATTATTATTATTATTATTATTATTATTATTATTATTATTATTATTACTGTTGCTATTATTGCCATCTCCACTCCCTTCTCGACTATTATCTGCTAAAGAAAAAGAAGCAACAGCCGCAAATAAGCCACGGCAGAAGGTAGCACTACGTAGCAAGAGCGTCAAAACACTACATGCATAACAGTCATTCCCTGGATTTATAAATCCACTCTGATCCCACATTAAACAACGGTAGTCTGACATTCGCGAAGACAATCTTGGCGATGGACGTGGTCGCATCACTTTTGATGAATTTGGTGATATACGATCATTACTGCCTTCTCCTGCAGATAGCGGTGGTGGTGGTGGTGGTGGTGGTACAATTGAAGGCAATATATTATTATTATTATTATTATTATTATTATTATTATTATTATTATTATTTGATGTATGATCTGTTGAAGTTAATGACAACGTTGGCCAACTCGGTGGAATGTACTGCGCTGTTTCCACCGAACTCGGTGGTGTATGGGCAACACTCTGCGGAGAATCACTGGTGAGTCGATACTGTTTATATACACTCGACCGTGCAGAGACGGCAGCCCGTAGTGGAGGAGATGTTGGTAGTGGAGGAGATGTTGCTTGTGGAGGAAGAGGCGGTGTTGCAGATCCCATTGTAGTAGTTGTAGTTGTTGTTGTAGTTGTTGTTGTTGTTGTTGGATAAGTAGATGTTGAAGAGGCTCTGGGTGCAAATCGGGTATATTGAGATACGGCTGAAGTAGAGGCCGATTTCACAAAAGGAGCCGCAGCATCCGATAAAGCCAACACCGATACACCTGCCGTACCACTATTATTATTATTATTATTATTATTATTA